TGGTTATTTATATCATCAGATATAGAAAACATATTTAGCAAAATCTATGCAGTTTTTATGGTAAAGGAGATTCTGGAAACTAGCAAAGGAAGGTAAATCCCCTACCTGACAATGGAAATCTTCAACTAACCATAAATTCCATCCTTATTAATTATAAAAGACCAAATGCTCCCTCTAAGGTCAGGAGCAGCCCAGGGATGTCTATGTCTAGTCACTTCTATCCAACAAAATTTTAAAGTTCTGCCTCAGATAACTATGGAGGAGAAAGAAAGAAAACTATCTTTCCATAGGATACACAGTATTGTCCAAAAGAAATCCTAAGGAAGTCAGAATTAGAAATTAGAGCGAATAACTGGACTCAGAAGAATAGCAGAAAGTGAGCACTATACAGAACTCAGACTCATTTCTTGACACTATCAAAGAACAATTCAGACCTGAACTTGTGAGAAGAACAGCTATCAAACAATGAAGAATACTATGTCTAGGGCTAAATCCCACAGAAGCATAAACACAATACCACAGAACACTGGCAAGAGAAGACCCCAAGAACTGTAAAGGTAACTCATGATTGTGGATTGGAAACACCAATATGATTAAAATGGGATCCTCTCCCAGTGGCTTATCAGAGACACTACTGTACCATGAATCTTTAAAGTTCTTATTAATAAAATCAAACCTGTGGCCAGTTATTAGGGTGAAATGCTGGATGGTCAGAGAGACAGAACAAGCCACAGCTAACCTCACCTGGCCAACTTCTCAGCTGGTCTTGTTTCCTCAGACTGGAAGCTTCTGTGTCCTTATCCCATTGGCTATCAGCTGAACAGCTGCTCGAAAGCCTGAAGCTTAACCAGCTAAATGCTTCTAGTTTCTGGTCTTCACACCTTATATATCTTTCTCTTTCTGCTGTCACTCCCTGGGATTAAAGGCATGAGTCACCATGCTTGGCTGTATCCTTGAACACATGGATTTCTGCCTCTGGAATGCTAGGATTAAAGGTGTGTGCTACCACTGCCTATTCTCTATGTTTAATATAGTGGTTGTTCTGTCTCTGACCCCAGATAAGTTTATTAGGGTGCACAATATTTCAGGGAACACAATACCACCACATTTCCCCTTTTTGTCTAAAATTTAAAAAATATTATAATACAAGAAAAACTATCCAATAAGTATATACAATATATACAGTTAAGATTAAATTAACAATGTCTAGTCCATTAACATTTGACAGATTCAGACAAAAAACTCCGTTTTATATATATATATATATATATATATATATATATATATATA